AATCGTTCTGTCATTCCAGTCATTTGCATTGGCCATTGTAGTAGTGGCCGCCAAGAAACATTCAATGACCTATATAAGGCTTCGAAAAGGTGTTTACTCCAACCTTGTGACCACCAGCAGTCATCTAGCCGGCCCAGTATAACACAATAATGAGCAAGAATCACCAACGCCATCGGCTGCCGCTTTTTTAAGTGCATTAGGTAGGCCTCTGGTAAAACAATCGGCCATCGAAATACAGTTTCCCAACTGGACGGGCACCTTTCAAATGAGATTCGGAGTTCACGGATCGCGTGGTTGTATGCGGCCTTTTCCTCGGCACTGATGTGTGTAACAGTTTCGCCGTTGCAGTCGTGCAAATAATCAAGAGCATTGATCACGTCCCTCGATATTGGCTGGGAGCATGTTAGATCTGAGGGTCGACGGACTAGTGGGCCTAATTTGCCCTTGCGAATGATTTCCCAAAATGTGTTCAAAACGCCTTCTACACCTCGGAAAAGGAAGAAATCCTGTAAAACCTGCTCTACAGGTTCGCCGGAACGGACGTTTCCCGCGGTTTTGGAGAATGCGAAGGCCAAGGCGGCAATTAGACTGGAGAAGGCAAAAACTGCATGGCAATTTGACGGGGTGATGTTACTGAGTTGTGGTCGAAAGGAGGCCAGAGCTAGGTTCTGATGCCGGGTGGCAAGTTCTATGTATTTCCTGCGATTATCGCCCTCATCTCCGCAAATATCGATTAGATGCAGAGCTGCAATGGCCAGGAGTCCGTGCATGAGAAATGGGTGTGACATCGCCTCCTTCGGAATATAGTTTTTCCAAATTTCCTTGTGCTCATTGTTGTAGGAGAGAGTGCGATAAGTTTCTGTGGTGTAGTGATGCAGTAGTTCTAGATCGTGGATATGCAAATCGGAGATAAGCTCCGTAGAGGGACTGACAAAAGAGCTAAGGATGTCCAGTTGATCCGCGTTTGAGGGCGAGGGCGCAAACACATTTGGGGGAGTGGGTGGAAGATATGCCGGCGTCGCTCCGGTCAGCAGATTGTTCACGGGATTGACGCGATTTGCGGTTGCGACGATGGATGGGAGAGGAGGAGGAGGAGCAAGGCCCGTCCGAGGAAGCGGCGACGGTCTCCCAGCACTCGTTGGCTTCGCTGGAACTGCAGCGAACTGGCATTCGATGTTGTGTTTTCTACAGTTTCCGCATGGTGGAGGGGTTTCGTCGCACTGTACGACTCAAACAGTCAGTTCAACCATCTTCATGAAAGGGCAATGCGATGACAGCACACTTAATGATCCAGTCTAGCGGCGACGAACAACTAGAGAATGTCTTTCGGTCGTCATACCTTGATTTTCCTTCTTTTGCACTGTAGGCATCCTAGGCGAGATTTGCGATGGCTTCGTCGCGGGCCCATTCTTGAAAAATCAACGCTGGTTCAGCTCCTTGCCAACAAAGAACTTGTACGGGGCGGACTTTAGTCAATCAGAGAAGCCGTCGCGGCCCAGGTGGTTACATGGCACTGGATCCGCCGCAACACCGGTAGGAGAAGACAGCCCGCCTGTTAATTGCGGGATCACGTCTCACTATGTCTTGCACGATGGCTGTTCTTGGGGGAGCTCGTCCAGGATTGGCGCTACTGGTGAAGCCCTACCGGCGTCTAACCCTCGACCCGCGCGCCAAGACCGGTTTATCGCCAGAGTACCCAATCATACCTTGTCTAAGCGACAAAGTAACCTTGTTTGTCATCCAAGCTCAGTGCTTAGTCATCATTACCCTTTCAGGGAGATCCTGAACATCTCCAATCGCACTCCCACAACAGAGACAACAGAGCATCGGTTTGCAAACGTGTAACTGCCCTATTTTTGTTATTGGTGTTGAAAACCTCCTGAACCACTTGAGCATACTTTTGGAAAACAAGCCGGAGCGAACGGACCCGCCAGCCCCCCCCTCATGACTCTTCTTCCTGGGAGAGCGCGGACACCGCAGCTGCCGGTTGCCGTCTGCTATCCGGGCTTCTGTTGGGATCACCTCTGGCTTTACATACTGTGTTGAACAGAATCTCTAGAACACTGTGGAACTCTACGGTCGGGAGGCCGTCACACAATCCTCGGATGTCATACTGGCGACGTTTCTGACAGATGTTGGACCGGTCTCAGTGAGGTGCCTTTCCAATTCCATGTACGATTATGTCATGGATTTCCATGTGAATCTGCCTGAGCTGGCTCCGCCCCCAAGGACCCTCGTGGCCCTGATGATCAACTTAACAAGGGCTGAAAAGAGAACGAAAGCAACACTGCTTTGGATAGCCAATCATAAGTGTAACTGGCGGAATTAAATATCCTCTTTAATACGGCGCAACTACATATTTCGAAATAGGGAACCGCTCTTTTCTCCGTTCCCTGCTTTGAATGAATCACATGGTGCTGTCGAGTACGAAGTTGTGAGACGTCGAAGATCGACTCGTCTCATTTTAATTCGAGCATTTACTAACTCGCATCATTGCCATTTGAAGAAGCTAGACTACACGGACGCTCCAACATTGTATAGATCCGGATTTGTGATGTTACTAACCCAGCAACGTCTGGATATACCTTGGTTATTCTCAACTTATACAGGGCGTATCTTGTGAACTGCTCAGTAGACAGGTACAGCATAACGATGCTCCGGAATCTCCGGTTTGTATGGGCGCTGCGTTGGAACAATTGTACTGCTGGTGGCTTTGGTTCCGATGTCTCGGAATCCTAGATGATACCTGTTTACCCGTACGAGACGGTTCTTCGAGACATTCTCCTCGGCTCACGACTTCTAGTGCTTGCTAGGCTCATGCTGATATACTCAATATGACGTCCTGAGTGAGTCAAAACACTGTCCGTCGTGCTCCATCCTCAAGGTGCGATCATGGCTAAAGAAGTTCAGTACTGGCTGACTTTTGAAACAATGCAAAGAAATATTCTCTGGGAATGGCGGACTATCTCATATAATCAACTCTTGTATCCGATTGTTAAACGAACCGAGATTAGTCCCCTACTATCGTCCATGGGAATCACTATATGGGTAGTCGAATGCACACGGCTCATCGACAAACATAACCCACCTCTACAGCTTTTCTTATAACCATCGTTACACATTGACAATTCTTTTGGTATCCAATTTTATCCTATCCTAGGCTTCGGCCCCTTTTGATCACATTATCGTGCTAGAATAGTAGGTTCTGGACCAGGTCCCCCAGCATGGATGCTAGATGGGCTAACTGAAATGGTTAGTGTTGCTGCTCATCCATTTATATCACGGTGTTACGGTGTCAGGTTTGATGCTTTTGAATGGAGCATCGTTAAATACCCCTCGGCTTTTTGAAAGTGTATTTTCCTTTGACCCAGGTTGTCCGCACGGCTCTGTTTAGGAATATATATTGTGGCGAGTTCCCGTTGTCGAAGGTGCTCCTAGATTCCCGCTGAAAAAGGCACATAACCTTACTTTTCCAAGTCATCCTGTACAGCTTATTGAGAAGCGATTATGATCTTCTCTGTTATTCTTTTTTGGACGCTACTATGGCAATGGGCCGTAGCCATTGCCGTTCCACCTTTACTTGCCCCAACAAAAGACGAAAAGAATGCCAAAAAGTTGCTTGAACTACAAGCTAAGGCGAGAGAAAATCTTGAAAGAGCACTCGAGCACCGTGCACTCACCCGTAGGGGTGACGACGACGACGATGACGACGATAAAGACGGCTCTAAATGCACTCGAAAGAATTTACAGATCCGCAAAGAATGGTGAGTCTCTTGCATTTGGCAAATGTGGATTTTGTGCTTAGATCTTTAGGCGCGCCATGTCCAAGAAGGACCGCAGGAGTTATATTGATGCCGTTTACTGTCTACAAAAGAAACCATCATTGATTGACGAAAAGATCGTTCCGGGGGCCAAGACTCTGTTTGATACATTTACGACCCTTCATATCAATCAGACACACACCATCCACAACAACGTAAGTGTCTACTGTCTGTTTACATTTAATACTCACTGAAGTACATTAGTTTTCCTTTCTAATGTGGCATCGCTTCTTCACTTACGTATACGAAAAGGTGCTCCGAGAACAGTGCGGATTTGAAGGGACGCATCCGTAAGTAATAGACACAACGATTTACAGGCAATACTGACTAGAGAAGCTATTGGGAATGGGGCTATGACGTGGACGACCCCGAAAGCTCCCCTATTCTGGATGGGTCGGATTATAGCCTCGGCAGCAACGGCGTACCCCTTAAAGACAAGAATGAGACATGGATTCTCTGGCCTCCTCCTCCTTTCAAGCCGACAAAGGATTTGATCAGCGAATTTCCAGCAGGAACAGGCGGAGGATGCGTCCACACTGGCCCATTTTCTGACATGACGGTTAACTTTGGTCCAATTTCGCAGGGGTCTGAGCGACACCTTGATCGGATGTTTCAATACCGCCCTCACTGCTTGAAACGAGACATAAACCCACACATTGGGCAACATTACCTCGCTTTCAACTGGACTATCTGGAACATAGTGGAGAGCACCGACATGATGGGATTCCAGGCTCGGATAACCGGTGATAGAAGGCAAGGCCACGGCGATTATAAACTAAACAAGTTTGGTGCCCACGGTGCAGGCCATTATTTTGGTGGCGGACCAACTGGTGCTTGTAAGTAATTTCCTTGTTATGATATTGTTTTTATCTTCCACATCTGACCTGGCTATAGTCTCGGATCTATACGCCAGCCCGCAAGACCCGTTATTTTTCCCACACCATGCTCAAATTGACAGGATGTGGGCTATTTGGCAGTGGTTGGATATAGAGAACCGCAAAGATGCGCTTTATGGTACTCTGACTTACGAGAACCTTCCGCCATCTCGCAAGGGAACGCTCGATGACCTGGTTGATTTGAGGCCCATAATTGACCCTGTTCGCATCAGGGATGTGGTAGATGTTATTAGTGGGCCTTTTTGCTACTTTTATGAATAGGTAGCCAGATGGCTTGGGTTGACATTTAGTTTTGTTAGTCAAATGCCCTGCGAGAGAGTTATAGGTAATGCAGAGTAGCATCGGCTCCATGGTCTGGTATATATTTACATATGCATAGTTAATCGTTCTGTCGAGATGCAATATCAAAGGGTCATATATTCAATATTTTGATCTCAAGGCTATACGGGCTTGACTCATCCCCCGTATTTCTAGTCTTGACTGGACCATGTTTAGTTCCGTGCAACAAACAATCCTACTCTGTATACATTGTTTTTACGGAGTAGTTTGTAGAAATTGCGTGCCGCTTACTTTGCTTCCTAACCGTAAGCCGTGGCTGCTTTCGCCGACTGAATGACCAGGAAACTCGATACGGGCACGTCTCCGAAGCTAGAAGACCTAGAAGCCCTCCTTGGTCTTTCCCCTCTATTTCTTCCCTTTGACAAGCAATATCTCAGCATCCCAGTGACTTTTCTTTTGTATTCCATCAATTGCTACGGGAGATGCAGGCAGCTGGTGAGCTGCAGCGCGGTTTAATATCAATCCTATGTTCTCTCTATCCTTCCCTGTGCTGATAGCAAGGTTCACTCAAGCTCTGCTTGCCGGATTTCAGGTTTATAAGCACCTCTCCGCCTTTTCGATTCATTACTCTCCATAAATGGAGTCTAATATGTCATCTCCTCCTTCATTCGACATTTCCGGAATCAACCGACCGCATTCCAACGATTCCAATAGCTTCCATTAAGGTACATTGCAGGCTTCATCGACTGAAGCACTATCTCGATAGTATGAAATACGGGCAAAGCGTCATTGAGTGAATTGAAACCTTACCTCTGCTCCAGCCTTTCAAACCAAATCATTTCCTTCAATTGCTGGTCCAGACTCAAGCCCATTTTTACCACTTTTTCACCCTCAAAAATGAACTCGGCGTCGAGGGGGACGTCCCCGCCTTCAAGGAAGTCACTCATATGTGCTGTGTACTTCGTTTGGCCGTGGACATGGTCGAATGTGAGTGAAAACCCCATGGACCGATCCGTGGCATCAATAAAAAGCTTGTCGTTCTCAATCTGAAGGACTAGGGTATGGTATCCAGGGTGCCAGTACGTGCCTAAGTATGTGCTGAGTGGTTTCTCTTGTGGCTGAGGTTCAATCGAGTCCATGCTATGTCTCTGCCCATTTTTTGCCTTGTTTTGTGGCGCAAGACCTCTTTTAACACTTGGTTTCAGTCTCTGACTAACGAAGAGGTCCCCCTTTGATTGCGGTTGCGTCGCATTCTTTTTATTTCGATGCCAGTGCTCCAGTTTGGGGACCCCAATAACCGCATCAATCAGCTGTTTCCTTAAAATAGTACCAATAGTGGCGCCGGATTCCGCGTTTCCAGCAACAAAACAGCCAAACTTAAAGTCGGGGAGAAAGAAGAAGTGGCTACCAAAACCTGGAACACATCCGTCGTGTCCCAAAACCAGGTATCCGCGATAAAAGTGAGCTTCTATTCCAGCTGCGTACATATTCGGCGATGAACCAGGTTTCAACCATTGCAAATTGGGATTCTCAAAAGTTCTCATTCGCACAAGCCCTTGATACAATCTTTTACTGATGGGACCCTCTTGATTTATTAAAGCTTTGAGAAATCGGATAAAGTCATTGACGCTGGTGATGATCGATCCAGCTCCCTGGGCTTCAGGGCAATCGGGGGCTTGGAACCCACTGTATGCTTTCTTTTTTTTATTCCACGCGTACCCGGTTGCGATTCGGTCTCCAAATCCTTTGACTCGAGCGCTTTGAGGTTGAAGGCTGGTGGATTGCATATCGAGTGGTTCAAAAAAGCGGGCTTGCAGAAAATTCGAAAAGGATTGCCCAGTTTTCGCTTCAATAAGGTATGTCGCCACGGTATACATCATGTTACAGTACTGAAATTTAGTTCGTAAAGGCGCAGCAACAGGTAAGTTGCGCAAATTTCGTGTGACCGATCTTGCATCGTCTGGCTGCTGTGCTCGGGGGCTAAGATACGAGAAGTCGTGGCTGCACTGGGCTGTCAGAAACGAAATGGATACTCCGTATCACCATAGGAATAGTGGTTACCGGGCCATACCACTTCTGTGGCTCAAGATATCTTCTACCGTAACATTTTCTGTGTACCCGGTGCCCGGCATCACAAAATCATCAGGCAGAAGTTTGGACATTATGGCATCATACTGCACATCAGGGTAGTTTTCATTGTCATCAACTAACAGCCCGATAGATGCTGCGGTCAGCGCCTTGGAGCACGACGCGATATCGAAAAGAGTATCCGCCGTAACTGAGACTGCTTGATCAAGGGAAGCCAGTCCAAAGCCCATAGATGCTACTTCATCATGCTGTACAACAGCAACTGCGAGGCCAGGGGTGCGATGTTCCTTCATGAGGGTGTTCACCCGCGCGGGGAACTCGACAGACCGGAAAAATTCCATAGCTGCAGACATATGGGCAGGTCTCCGTGACCCGTGAGTGCAAAAGCATGTGGGTGCAGCTCCATTTTATATCAATGGCGATTCTGGGAAGGGAGTACGGAGTAGAGCTACCGAGTACTGCCTTTAGCTCATCAAATAAAGCGATCGGCGAGAGTCCCAGCCGTACCTATGTTTGTGTAACCAACTTCACGCCATCCCGACGGTGCTGGTGATTTCTGACGCTAAACCTGCAGAAGATCTCAGCCGCTCCCAGCCACAACTCCTTGCATGATAGCTACTCCATACTCCGTAAACAGCGCCTATTCCATTCGCCTTCACTACATAGCTGAAAAGGTTGACGTGGCTCATACCAGTTTTCAGACATTATGTAATGATCTGATTGGCAAGCGTTTAGGCGTACATTGGGTTTGACTCATTCCCGCAGACGAGTCATGCTTGCTCATATCGCAAGATGGAGTGCACAGAGGATGTCATGATGTTGCGCTCAGGTTGTTTCCTGGGTAAGTTTCACTCTACGCCGTACGTTTTAAACAGGGTAATAAGGCAAATCGGATTCCCATCGGAGGCTTCCCAAAGACTGAAGGAATGCATTTATATCAAGCTTGACCGCATGGAAAATGCCATGGAAATTGCCCAGGCATGAGGAAAGGTATTGCTGTACTCCGTACATCGTATGGAGTACGGAGTAGCTGCAATTCCGAGACAAAAAAGGGGCACTGGACGATTACCTAATGCTTGGTGGATGACTAACACAAATCATTAGTCAGCTGACGTAACTAACTGGAGGAGGGATAGCGTGCATTAGGACGCGTTATCTAATCAACTGGCGTCACGTCGCGTCGCAATTCAGTAAAGCTGCAAAGGCGTCCTGTCTCGAGATTCAAGCACTGACGCTGTCAAATATCCCCATTGTGCCGGTTACTTTATCCCTGGACTCCTTCAATTCAACTGTGCTTAGGATAATTCAATCCGCCGAATGCTACCATGCCCGAAGCCCTTCTGAAGCCTCCGAAACGAGTCCTCGGCGATGCCACCAGGATTCGTGGAAGCCTTCAGCCTGTGTCGCCCAATGCCGTGAAAAAACGGAAGCTTGAATCCGATCAACCCAACATAATCACAAAACCTCGCCTGCATGATGGGTTTCGGAAACCTGCTACGCCTATTTCCAGCCAGTCTCAACCCAAGAGCCAATTCGTCGAAGAGGTTTTGGAGAAATTAACTCAAGATATCAGCGGGCTCAAGGAGTCCAATGCTGAGAAAGATCAACAATGGGAACGCCCTAGCCTAGGTGATTTTGATTCAACTAGAGACTCGCTTTGCTTCCAGCAGATTGAAGCTGAGGAGGGCAGGTTCTCAGGTGGCCAAACTGCAGTCAAGTTGTTTGGTGTGACAGAGGTGCTTCCAATTCGAAGACTCGCAACTAGAGGAGGCACGAAGCTAATATGTTTTGTCTTCAGGCCGGCCATTCTGTCCTCCTACATGTTACCGATTTCAAGCACTATTTATACGTTGCGGCGCCTGTTTCCTTTACGACTTCAGACTGCGGGCCGTTTCAGGCGTTTCTTGAGACCAAAATAGCACACCACCAGGAAGTTATACATTCAGTGACGATGGGAATGAAAGAAAATCTCTTTGGATTCCAGGGTAATCAGCGAAATCCTTACCTGAAAATCACGGTGACGGATCCGAAACATATCAATGTCGTCCGATCGATCATTGAGAATGGAGATGGGAATTATAAAGGTCTTTGGAAAGTTATCGATGGCATTCTCACCTTCGACAATATCCAGTATATCTTGCGTTTCATGATTGACACTGGTGTAAGTCAGCTTGGGCTCTTCCTGTCACTTTTTTTATTTTGCTAAGATTCCTTACGACAGATTTCCGGCATGTCCTGGGTCGAAGTGCCTCCCTCCAAATATAAAATCGTCCCTGCACATGCCAGGCAATCAAATTGTCAAATAGAGGCAACCGTGTCCTACCGTGACCTGATAGCCCATCCCCACGATGGTGAATGGGCAAAAATGGCCCCTCTGAGAATTTTATCTTTTGACATCGAATGCGCAGGAAGAAAAGGCGTTTTTCCAGAAGCTCATCAGGACCCAGTGATTCAGATTGCCAATATCGTTACAAGATATGGGGAATCCAAACCTTTCGTTCGAAACGTATTCGTTTTGGATACCTGCAGTCTGATAGTCAACACTCAGATTTTGGAGTTTGACGATGAGAGAAAGATGCTCATGGCCTGGAAAGACTTTCTGCAGAAGGTTGACCCTGATGTGATTATCGGCTACAACATTGCAAACTTTGACTTTCCCTATTTACTTGACCGGGCGAAGCACCTGGATTGCAGCGGATTTCCATACTGGTCAAGGCTGAAGTCGGCGATCTCACAATCGAAGGATTCCAACTTCTCAAGTAAACAGATGGGCAACCGAGATACCAAATCCACTAACACTAATGGAAGAATCCAACTTGATCTTTTACAGTTGGTTCAACGTGACCATCAGCTTCGCAGCTATACTCTAAATTCCGTGTGCTCCCATTTTTTGGGTGAACAGAAAGAAGATGTGCATCATACGATGATCACAGAGCTTTTTAATGGCACACCTGATTCACGGCGACGCTTAGCGGTTTATTGCTTAAAGGATGCCTACCTCCCTCAGCGATTAATGGACAAACTGATGTGTCTGGTGAATTATACTGAAATGGCTAGAGTCACTGGGGTGCCCTTTAATTACCTCCTATCCCGTGGACAGCAGGTCAAGTTTATATCTCAACTTTTTCGAAAAGCTTTGGAGCAGAACTTGGTTATTCCAAATCTACGAAATGAGGGTGGTGAGGAACAGTACGAAGGCGCCACTGTCATTGAACCGGTCAGAGATTACTACGATGTTCCAATCGCCACGCTAGATTTTGCGTCTCTATACCCTAGTATCATTCAAGCACACAACCTCTGCTATACAACCCTCCTTAATAAAACTAGTGTGGAAAAACTCAAATTGAAGAAAGATGAAGATTATATCGTTACACCAAATGGCGACATGTTTTGCACCGCCCATGTTCGCAAAGGCCTTTTAAGCCAAATTCTAGAGGAGTTATTATCCGCGAGAAAACGAGCAAAGAAAGAGCTTGCCGTCGAAACTGACCCGTTTAAAAAAGCTGTCTTGAATGGCCGTCAACTGGCCCTTAAAATCAGCGCAAACAGCGTGTACGGCATCACTGGTGCTAGTAACGGGAAGCTCCCCTGCCTAGCTATTGCGAGTAGCACAACCAGTTATGGCCGACAAATGATTGAAAGGACAAAAGATGAAGTCGAGAAGCGGTATACGATAGCGAACGGATATGCACACGATGCAAAGGTCATTTATGGAGACACCGACTCTGTTATGGTTAAATTTGGTGTTCAAGAACTGTCCGAAGCGATGAAGCTTGGGCAAGAAGCTGCCGATTTTGTTTCAGCGAAATTCTTGAAGCCGATCAAACTTGAATTTGAAAAGGTCTATTTCCCGTATTTATTGATCAATAAAAAGCGTTATGCAGGCCTCTTCTGGACGAATCCAGACAAGTATGATAAAATGGATAGCAAAGGTATTGAAACTGTTCGACGAGACAACTGCCGGTTGGTTCAAACAGTTATCGAGACTGTTCTGAAGAAGATCCCGATTGATATA